CGGTGAAGCACTGGAATGGGTTACCTAGGGAGGTGGTGGAATCTCCTTCCTTGGAGGTTTTTAAGGTCAGGCTTGACTTATTGGTTTTTAAGGTCAGGCTTGATTTAGTTGGGGTTCGTCCTGCTTTGAGCAGGGGTTTAGACTAGATGACCTCCTGAGGTCCCTTCCAACCCTGCTAGTTAATGATTCTATGAATGCCTATCTGTGAGTGCACGGGCGTGCCTGCGTGCACACGGGAGCAGAGGTGTTCTGTGTGCTCACGGCAGTTTGTGGGTGTACTTCGACGTGAGCAGGTGGGTGTGTCTGCGTGAGCGCATCGCCGTCGCATGCCCCTGCGTCACTGTCTGTGTACGTGCAGGCGTGTGTTTGTGTGCGTTGTGCGCGCATGGACCACCCGGGCCGGTTCTCACCTCAGTTGCTTTATCTGCCTTTGTTATCCACTTCCTGTATCTCACGTGCCTCGTTGGCGATGCCGGTGCAGAATCTCGCCTGAATTACCGAGAAACCCCCAGGGATTAGAGCCTGGGCATTATTTTCTGCCTCTTTGTGTCTCCTTGTTTTTCCAGCCGGCTGCTTTTTACCCGAGAGGGGCCCAAGCAGGGACGCTGGATCTGGCCTTGTCAAACCTTGGGCAAGTTTGGGTCCCAGCTGAGCTACCAGATCCTGGCTTGGGACTGTCTCTACAACAGGCCAAACCACAACCCAACTCTAAAGAGCCTGAACTGTGGGAAAACTTCACGAGAGATCCCGCTCTGGACCTGAACATCAGCGAGCCATTCCCCGACCAGGCCAGGAGAACGCACGTTCCTCCAGCTGCAAGCTGTGGGCTGTCACACAGGGCAGAAACCCAAGCCCTCTGACTCACGCTGGGGCAAAGCCAATGGGATCCCCCAGAGCCAAGCGATGGCCGAACCGGGAGGTCAGACTGATCAAACGTCACTAGATGCCGCGAGAGTCGCAGCCGGGCGATGTAGGACTCCGACCGGCATACGCCTCACGGCGTTGGGCCTGTAGGTGCAGCAGGAGGGGCCTGTGGATTCGGCGTCGGGGTCCCACCGTTCCCTCCTCACGGGCGGCTGGGATGGCTGTGCGGATGCAGTCCCAGCTCGCCGCATATCCCCGGAGAGAACGGCCACCACAGCCCCAGTGAGCCGGCGTCAGCCTGCCAGCGCACGGGAGACCCGAAGGCGGGGAGGGAAGCCCAGTTACCTCTGCTCGGGGCCGCCAGGCCTCAAGGACGGGAAAGCCCCACTGGCTTCGACGGAAGGAAGGGTCTGGCCATTCCCCTCCCAGGCCTGGAGTTTAACATTAGGGTCCGATGGACACACGCCATCCCATGCCGGGGGGCTCGGCTGCTGACAGCCACACATCACTGAGGCTGGGTGCAAGAGAAAGGGCACGACCCCAGGCCCCCGAAGGGACGGATCTAGGCCACGAGGCGCCCCGCGCTGTCCTCGCTTACTTTGCTTTCGGGCAAGAGCATCTGGGCTGCCGCCACGCCTCGGCAGCTGGGGAGAACGGCGGCTTGGCCTTCCCCGCGGCTGCTCCATGGCCGGAGACCTGCTGCCAAGCCTGCACGACGGAGGAGCGGGGTGGCTGCGGCAGGGTCTGCTGGTCCGGCGGCTCCCAGAGCTCCATCTCCTCCTCGGCCCCTTT